AAGAACTACAAGTCCGGTGCCATCGACCCCCAGGTGTTTGAGTTGCCGGCGAACTACACGTGCCGCTCGTTCCCGGGGCCGGGCGTCGAGCATATCGGTCACCACAACCCTATCCGGGAGTTCATTAGCGGCGCCGACAGTCACGTGGACTCGGAGTTCGCGAAGTTTACGGACAAACACGACAAACGCTACGATAACTCGACTCATGAGAGAGGAAGGAAAGACGTTTTCAGACAAAACTTGAGATTCATTTCGTCGAAAAACAGAGAAAACATTGGATACAGGCTTTCGGTCAACCATTTGGCGGATCTGACGGACTTCGAGCGGAGGAGTTTGCGAGGGAAACGGTATTCCGGTGTTGAATATAACGGGGGACTGGAGTTCGACAAAACTAAATACTCGCTCAACGCTGTGCCCCAGCAGTGGGACTGGAGGTTGAGTGGAGCCGTCACTCCCGTCAAAGATCAGGCCGGTATGTATTGGTTGTATACATAATTTCTATGACATTAATAATCAAGACATTTGTGTTTGACATACAGTTTGTGGCTCGTGTTGGTCTTTCGGTGAGTCTTAAGGGGGTCCCTAAATCTTAAGCCAATTGTAATCCCAGACTACTGTTCCTAAGGCACTACCGGTACCATCGAAGGCGTATATTTTGTGAAAAGCGGACATTTGGTGAAACTGTCTGAACAGCAGCTAATCGACTGCAGTTGGAATGAAGGGGATAATGGATGCGATGGCGGGGAGGACTTCCGGGCCTACGAGTACATCCAGAAAGTGGACGGACTGTCCACTGAAGACGATTACGGCCACTATTTAGGTCAAGACGGCAAATGTCACGACAAGACTGTGAAGAAAACTATTCATTTGAAGGGTTTCTATAACGTTACGTCTGGAGACACACAGGCGCTGGAGACTGCCCTCTATTACGAGGGACCGGTCACTGTGGCCATCGATGCCTCCCATAAATCCCTGTCCTTCTACTCCAGTGGCGTATACTATGAGCCCACGTGTGGTAATAAACCCGAGAATCTGGATCATCAGGTCTTAACATTCTGTGTTACCATTGGTTTAGTGTCTTATCTAAAACACACATAAAAACACAGTTATCCAAGACCGCCAACCAAAGCCATCAGAATTCCCGCTCTTCATAACCGAGTAATTCTTGAGCACCAGATGAATAACCCCATTGCTACCGATGCAGGAGTACTCTCAAAAAGATAATAACTGCGGGGTTACCACTCAGCCTACGTACCCAATCATTGCTGACAAATAAGTCCCTATTGTGTGTGACTTAGCGATCATTATTTGAAGATTAACGATGGCTACGTCCTCATGAGTCAAAAAGATAATAACTGCGGGGTTACCACTCAGCCTACGTACCCAATCATTGCTGACAAATAAGTCCCTATTGTGTGTGACTTAGCGATCATTATTTGAAGACTTTTGTAATCTTATCAATAAAATTATTTCTTAAACATATGTTTTACTAAACTTTTCTGTTTTTATATTTCTTTAAGAATTATGATTTCAGACAATCGTATAAATCTTTTGATTACTTTTTTGATTATTTTTTCTAAATTACATCAAATTTAAAGTGCCATCAGATTGTGCATTATTATAAATACTCTCTCATATGAAATGCTATTATAATTTGCTATTGAAATAATGTCTCATATAATTTATTAAACGAATTTACTTTTGATACTTAAAACAAGCTAAATGAATAGTAAAGTAAATCCGGTATTTTATTATGAAATTGTAATGAAGTGTAGAATTTGTGATTTCAATAAATGAATAACAAAAATATGATTCTAGATAACATAGAAACTATAAAATAAATACATTTGGTATTAATAATAATAATAATAATAATGAGAAAACTATTACACAAATTAGATAAAAGCAGAAATGGATAATTGTTTGGCATTTTAAGTGTTAGAAGTTTATGAGTTATTATGGTTTAATGGACTATATTTCAGATGACTTCTCCGGATCTGTCTTTGGCACCGATTGCTTAGTCTTAGGCTTAGGAGCGGTCGACTTGGATGTGAACCCATGGGATTGATATCTATAGACAACTATCACGATCGTGATCACCGCCAACACCACCAACACTATCAATATCACCACAAAGAAGTACTCCAGAGTAGTCGTTCCGCTCTCGGACTTTGAGTATGATCTACAAGAAAAGTAGGACTTGAAACTCCACTTTCCCTATACATGTAGACAATCACATTAATAATGAGTTTATGACACAAACAAATGCAAAATTCAATCGTAATCTTACGGTAAGTTTTAGGGCAATTTCGTGTATATCTGTGAGCCGGTACACATTGAGCTCGTTTTGGGCGTTGAATGCTAGGGCAAATAGTTGGTGCTCATTGGTAAACAAACCGACAATTTTGTTGAACTCCCGTTTGAAGCCCCTATCGTTGGCCAGAAATTTGCCGGCAATGGACTGACTCGGGAACAGGTATTTGGCGTCCGACACGTATTGCGATACATTCAACAGCGGCGAGCCCTTGGCTTTCATAGTAATGGCCAGTCGGTCGTACTCTCGATCGGGTTTGCTCGACACCCAGAAGCCGATGCCGGCTATGGTGTCGGTGTTGACGCCATCCTGGAGTAACTGGGGGTGAAAAGGGCCGACAGTATCGCCGCTGAATGGCATGTCATTCGGGCCCTTATTGTTGGGTAGAATCGGTTTATATTTAATGCCGTAATCCTTAGCGGGCGACTCAAACACGCGGTAAATGTATTTTGTGGGGAATTGTGAGGAATCCCTCCATTTGGTGTGACCCATGACTACAGTTCTGTATATGCTACCGTTCCCAAGGGGGTACGAGTAGCTAAGGAGTCGCTTTTTGGTGTCTGAAAACAGAATATGAGTTAATAGAAAGTTTAATAGATTACTCTCTCTCTCTCTCTCTCTCTTAATATCGAAATAATCGTTGAATAGATTTGAGACATATTTGTCGAAATCAAAAGTTTGTTTCTCCCAGCGATACACATAGAAATATCGGCCCACTTGGAAGTAAGTGAATATCCCAATGCTGAGAACACTGCGGATGACGCCCGGAGTCTTACAAATGTCGCCCCCTTTCTCAGCCACCAATGAATAGATTTGACTGAACGGGCATTTGAATAGCGATGCGAGTGAATGGGTGCTGTTCTGTAGACATCAGAATATAACACAAAAGTTAGATCTACCGATTGTATGGGAACTGTTGACCCCATCCGGGCCAACCAGGTTGTTGTTTATTGTTTATTGTATTTACATTTATATACGATTTCTGGTTTTTCTTCAAATACATTAATATATTTGTATTAAAGACAAAGTCTTCACAAATTGCTATTTCTCTACATTTAGAGAGAGAGAGAGAGAGAGAGAGAGAGAGAGAGACGGATACCTCGAGGGACAGGTCTTCTATGTTCAACTCAAGCAACGGTTCGTAAAAATTGCGAATCGTGTCGAAGAGGAACGACTGTTTGAGGGGCGGGTAGTAAAACTTGCCGACAATGGACTTGCGGCCCATCACCGTGGCCTCCAGAGGCCAGTTCACAAACCTACTCGTCCACTTAATATCATCCATTTTAAGGTAATTTTCGGCTTCAGCCGTATTTTTCCTGATCAGTTGACTCATGAGGTGGAAGGTCAGGGACAGAGGGGTAAACCCTTGCGAGCTGACTATCATCTCGAACACCATGTCCTGGTTGGCATTGGGCGCCCACATGACTGAGTGCAGGTTACGGGCGGTCAGTTTGGTGCGGATCCGGGTGCGCAGAGCGTCGCACAGTTGTTGGGTCTGGTCGTAGACCTTGCGCTCAGCGTTAGACCAGAAGGAGGGGAAATTGTCGTCGATTTGGACGATCAGATCGTTTGCCTGCAAATCGTTTCTTAAATAAGTGTAAGAAAAATGAGTTTAAAACCAGAAATCGTATATAAATGTAAATACAATAAACAATAAACAACAACCTGGTTGGCCCGGATGGGGTCAACAGTTCCCATACAATCGGTAGATCTAACTGCCAAAAGTCACCAAATGCTTGCGTGCCGTCGATATCATTGAAAGAGTCCTTCACATCTGAAAACTGGTGGATCAGTACTCCCAATGCTTCGGCATTAGTGTAGCCATACTTTTGGTGACAATATTTCGGTTGAAAATCAATCGCCCGTTGAATACAATCTAAACAAATGAAACAAAATATTTAAATTAATCTTTAATTTAATTCTAATTTTCAAATATATTTAGTATTAGTTAATGATTAGCAAACCATTAACTTTATCCCCATTTATGGCCAGTTTAATGTTATCATTAATTTGACCAAAATTAACGGCAATCCCTTGGCCGGTCATATCGACTATCGCACCGCCGGAAGTGCCCGGACTGGTCCGACACGTGTGGACGACATAACTTTCCTCGGTATCGCATATGTTTTCAAAATAATGGTATACTTTCAGATCAGTCAGCTCTCTATCGGCACACATGACAATACCCGTGGAAAAGGACGGGCAACTCATTCTGGGATAACCAATGATTGCCGCCTCCGTCCCAACAGTTATATTATTTTGATCGGCAAACTTGAGGACAGACTCAATTGAGATCAGGCAGATATCCAATATTGTCTTCATTACCCGTTTCGGCGGCGTATAGTCGTATGACTGCTAAGTCGTTTGGGCTCAATATAGACTAGTCGTCCACTCGATACCGACGACTTGAGGGTATCATCACTCGGGTCTCTCTTATAGAAATACAGCTTAATGTCTGGACACTCACGAGTCACGTGACTGTTTGTCATTACGAGGCCCGACTCAGTCACCAGAAATCCAGTTCCTTTACCCAGTAGTCTCCTCTCCCCATCAAAACCTGTATCGTATATATGAATTTTGGCCACACTTTTGAGTAATTCTTCGTATACTTCAGTCACTGTCTTCGGGTTGTCCACCAAATGAGCACTTCTTAGTCTATTGTGAATCCACTGATAATCGCATGGTTTTCGTGGTTTGCATTGAAATGAGTGATTGAATGAAAGTATGGGAACTCTTAGTGCTATCAATGAAGTGTTCAATGTTTTGGTCAACAAATGCCACAAACGATTCATTACATGAAACTTATATTTAATGATTAATTTTAAAAACACTTTTTAATAAATAGCAAATACTACTAATTTGTATATCATATGTCGTACTTTAAAGGCATAAATCGGAAAAATAAAACTTATATATCTTATAAGGATTTGATAATCAAATAAATCTATTTAAATAAATTCTTATCACAATTAACTAGACGTATATTCTTTGCAAATTTGATTTATTAGTTTGAATTTCAATTTGTAAAATATTCACGATATATGATTAAGTTAATCCCAGTTAAGTTAATATTGAAAAAAGCTCATTTTTATAATTTCACAACAATTGATGTGATTTTCAAATGACATTTCAGTGAAGTTCGAGTGAAAGTCAAACACAAATGTCTTCGGGAAAGACATCCACTTCTGGAGGCAAGAGATCCACACGAAGAGCACCAGACATGCGAAGAGGGAGGAGACAGACGTCGGGAACGTATGGAAAGGGATGGCGAGTCGGGAGTCATAGGAATGGCGNGAGTCTGTGACTGTCTGACTGACCCGGTCTTGGAAGCACTGGCAGTGAGTGGTGTGGAGGAGAGCGTAGGGAAAGACCACCAAAAGGACGTCCACAACAGATCCACTGGTGGGCACTCGTATGGACTTTGGGTTTAGGAACTGGAGGTCGACTACAGGGGACGAGGAGTGGCCGGAGTTGTGCTCTATTTGTGTTTGAATTATGATTTATATTTGATTTTCTAATAAATGTTTTGTAAATCTAAACAAAATCTCTTCATTTAAAACCATAAGTTCAGAGAAAACACAGAATATTCTGTGAGTTTTGACACAGTATTAGATTCTATCAAAAATTATTTGTCAGACACTTTATGCCATAGTTTTTGAAACTAATTGTTATCGTAATGTGTTTCGTAAACAAAACTTTCAATTTTTAGACCCAATTATTGGCAAACAATAAGTTGAGCGGAAAAGCCGTTGCGAAACACAAAACAGACAATTCGTGTCCACAAAACGCACGCAAAGCAAAACCTCAGAGTCCCAGACCATCACCGATCGGATCCCACGTACCAATCGATGGCCGCATTGAAACGACTGCACAAAGAGCTGGAAGACCTGCGCAAAGAGCCGCCGCCGCGGTGTACGGCCTCCCCGGTGGGCGCAGACCTGTTCACGTGGAACGGCACCATTGAGGGGCCGCCCGACACGCCCTACGAGGGCGGTGTGTTTGACCTGATCATCAAATTCCCTTCGGACTACCCCTACAAACCGCCGCACATACGGCTCATTACACGCATATATCACCCAAACATCACACCCGACGGCATCATATGTCTGGACACCCTTAAGAAGCAGTGGAGCTGTGCCCTCACGATCTTCAAAGTGTTGCTGTCTATACAGCAGCTGCTGTCCGACCCCAACCCGGACGACCCCCTGGTGCCCGAAGTGGCCCGACAGTTCAAAAGGGACAGGGTCAAGTTCGATAGGGAGGCCAAAGTGTGGACACAGAAATACGCGATACCTATCGCTGCTAGTCAACAGTCCGATGACAGCGCCGGTAGTTCCGATGCCAGTGATGCCAGCGATAGCTCCTGATGTTTAGACTAGTGTTCAGTCGTTTCGCACCTCTTATTAATCAATAAAAATTAAGATTTTTTTTGTGGAAATTTGTTTTATTTTAGTATAACTTTAAATATATTTTATAGTGAATAACAAGAATATAATATTTGTTGTATAATTCATTAACATTTGTATAGAATCTATAGTATAGATACAGTAGTTGTAAACATTGTAAAGTAAAATAGTTTGAACTTATTTTCAATTATCTAATCATAGAGATGCACTAATTGTACTCAATGAGTGAATAATACTTTTTCAAATCATTGAGTCACTAAAATAACGCAATATAATTGTATACAGGTAATACTTGAGATTACAAATAATAAATCTATTATTTCTTAAATTAGTTAACAAAATGAGTTAATTTTCTCATAATACTACAAATAATCAGAATTTGTATGTAATAATTGAGTTCCCAATTAATTCACATTTTAATACACTCACTATTAGGTGAATTATCAGACACATTTACCACTCATTTATTTGGCACAGGTATTTAGTGAGCCAATCATAACAATTTAGTAATTTTGTTGACACTATAAATAGATTAAATAAATAGAAATTAATAATCATTTTTAAAAGTCAAACAAACTTACGGTTGACTGTTGCAAATGAGCAGGGATCTCTAGCAGTGTCAACAACTGTGACATCCTTTCCCTCAATCTGTCAATCTTTAACTCATTATCGCTGTGTCTATCTCTCCAATAGTCGACATATCGGTAGACATCCATTGCCCGAATAGACTGCAAAAACTTAATCCTATTCTTGATTTGATTATCTTTTGCCTTAAGATTTTCGACCTCCAGTACCAGTCGATTCAGCTCTTGTAGTCGCTGTTTGTATATACTGTCCACCCATTTAGCGTACGCACAGTTAGATATCTGACAGTGCTCTGAGTGTTTGACTGCGGGTTTCCTGACCACCAATTGCTGGGAAGGGGTCGTCTTTCCCACACGAATGTCCATTAAATTTGTGTCTGAAATAGGAGTCAATTTAGTCATGCGTTCAGATAATTAATGATCAGATTATCACAAGAAATGCCACCAATTTTCAACTGTTTATAGTGTTTAAGATAATACCGAAAAGTTTAGGTTTTATAAATTAAAACATTTTCATTAGCCTATGGTAATCGAAATACAATAGAAAATATTAAATTTTATATAATAATTACTGCTAAATATATCAATCATACTAACCGTGGTATTGGTTCTTACCAAATTAATTGGACACAAATTAACTTTTTTAATAAGTATTAACAAACATAATAACTATTATTAATAATAGTCTTAATAATTGCAGACAAAGAGCATCATTGAGTGAAAGCATAGTTACTATATATATCGAGTACTGTAATGCGTTTTCAATGATTTCACTCATTATTGTATTCAAGTCTAGATTTTGTAGTTAAATAAATAAAATTTCCAGTGTATTAATTATAAATAACATTCAGTTATGCATTTATTAAATTCAATTCTTATTTGTTGGACTAATAAGTCAGAAAATATACAGTACTTCACATTTAGTGTGTTTATGATTACAAATGAGTAGTTTTTAATAAGTAATATCAGTCGAGTAATTGAGAAATAAAAATAAAACAAACTTAAGGTATGAAGTAATTTACAAAAAAAGTATAGCAAATGTTAGTTTTAAATAAATACAAGTAAAGAATATTTGCTACTAAATTACAAGCATTGCATAATTATAAGTTTTACTACAAAATTCAATTTAAACATTAATTATAACTTAACTTTCATTTCAATCCATAATTACTAATAAAAACATAAATTACAAGCATTTGAGTGACAATCGCATCAATAAATCATTAATAGATTAAAACTTCAAAGACTTGGCTACCGATGAGAAGCCATGGCTCAGATGTCTGGGCACCGGTCGCTGGATCTTAAACTCCATGCCCTATAAAAAACACCAAAAATCAGACCAATCATACCATTACACCCAGAGCTCAGATAATATACTGGCGATGATAGGTCTGAGAGCTGATCCCCGGGCTCTGGCGATCGCATGAGATCCTCGACCAACATCCTGAGCACCCGTTTCTTCGCCAACCGGAGGTCCTGTCGTTGTCTAAGTCGGCGTCTAATATCCAGACAGTGGGGAACTGGACATTGGATGTGATAGCAGTTCTTGGCGTGATATGTGCAGAGATCCATGAGTTGGTCGCATACGGAACAGTGCGGAACCGACGCGGGTTTGGGCCATAGGCTCTTGAATTGGCAGCTCTGGTAGTGTCGCACCACGTCCTTCATCTGATCGCACAGGGGGTACGAACACAGACCTACTGTACAGCCGCTCGAGTGGACGAGGGTCTGGACGCGTCCGATAGGCTGGGCGCTGGACGAGCCCTCGTAGGTCTGCATCGACGCCGGGTACTCCTCCTGGGGAGGTGTGTCCAGATCCAGGCCCGCGAGTCGGGCTATTTCTGACGGGTATTTAAATTTATGATCAAAATAGTGGTTATAATAAGACACACATACCTATGGTCTGTTGCATATAGAGTGTCGGACGTGGGGCTAACCCCGCGACCCCCCGACGTATGGGTCTGGCAGGTGGGAGGCCAGTGTCTGGCGAGTCAATTGGTGGTCGCATTTGATGGACAGGTAGTTAAATATGGCTCAAAATAAGAGTTTCAAATGTCGTGTTGAGTGTAGTGTTAATCAGTCAGTCATACAAATAGTAAACTACCCTTTGATACGATATATCTAATGCTGATAGCAAATGATGAAATAAAGTGAGCGAAAGGTCTTTAGATATGAATTTTTGTTCACTAATTCATCACTTGTTTCGTATGATGTGAATAGCCTTTTGCCAGAGGGTTTGCACAATAAATATCGATTTTGAACGCAAATTTATTAATGTCTACTATTTTTAATTAATTATCATTTAGTAATGTATTGAAATATGTTTTGATGCTACTGTATGTTTTTCAGTTATCGTGTGTAATCAGAGTTTAAATTAGTTTTATTGTAATTTTATATGACTAGGGTATACATACATTATAAATTGACAATAATTTACACATATGCTCAGTCATGAGTAAGAACTCAATGATTCTGTCATTTTTAAGTCTATTAAGTCGTGTACGTACTTATGAATGTAGCAAGGTATATTTAAAATTGTTAGTCGTTTTGATCACTAATCTCTTGTAAAATAATTTTTGATGAAAATATATTCATCGAGTAATTTGGAAAAATATATAAACATTAAATGAATATTTATAAAACATTCATACAAGATACTTTTGATTCATACAAATATGACTCAAATTAAAAATAAATTCAATAAATAAATAATAGTTTCCAAATTACTCGATGAATATATTTTTATCAAAAATTATTTTACAAGAGATTAGTGATCAAAATGACTAACAATTTTAATATACCTTGCTACATTCATCAGTACTACACGACTTAAAAGACTTAAAAAAGACAGAAACATTCAGTTCCTAGTCATGAGTCATGAGCTACAAGTGCTCACTAGCAAATATGTTGTATACGGAAAGCATGGGCACTTTATGGTACACTCATCACATTGAATGAATGTTGATTTAATTATGATATTATGACTCATTCTTATAGAAC